ATACACATGCGATGCGAGCCATCTTTTCTTCACAAACAGGATGGGTGCTCCCCACGGCGAGCTACTCGGCCGAATAAACCCCTTCCCCAGCAACTCCTGAAGTTGCGAGGATAACTCTTGCATTTCTGGAGGCGCAAGGCGATACGGCACCTTAGCGATAGGCGCGGCTCCCGGAACCAAATCGATACCAAACTCCACTTGCCTCACGGGAGGCACACCTGGTAATTCTTCGGGAAAGACATCTGGAAACTCACGCACCACCGGAACTTCATCCACCGAACTCGGTCTCTCGGAGATCACTCGCGTATCCATCACATACGCCACAAAACCCTTACAGCCCTGCTGTAAACACTGCCTCGCCCTAGCAGCCGAACAAAAGGCTGATCCAGAACGTGTACCCTCGCCGTAAACCGAAAGAACTCCCCCACTAGGATCTCGTATAGTCACCAGCTGACGCTCGCAATCGATAACCGCGCCGAATCGGCTCAACCAGTCCATGCCCACTATAACACAGACATCACCCATCGCAATAGGAATCAGGTCGATCGGGAACTCAACCCCAAAAATCTCCAATACACATCCCCGGAGGACCTCCGTGGCACAAATCACTCTGTCGGCGGCTATGGAAACCCGCAGGGGCCGACTCAGTGCCCACGACTAACACTGATATGCTGACTAAATGTCAAAGATACAAAAGATCGACTCGCACCCGAGTCAAATAACACTAAAGCAGGTACAGAATTCACAAGGAAGGTACCTATGCATAGCATAATATAAGCATAATATCTCGACACCATAAATAAATAATAAAAGAAAGCGTACCAGCCACAACGTCGGGTGCAGCGCGGACCTCTTCCGCAGTCAGCTGAAAGGCTCTCCCCCGAGCCCTCGGTGCCTCGGCCTTCACGGGCCGACTCTCTGTAGCAGTAGCTCTGATGGCGGCGGGAGCAGACCCCTGAGATGCTCCGCGCAGCAGCGGACACTCTGCCTTCCGGTGTCCGGTCTGGTTACAGTGGAAGCACACTGTAAACCCTTGGGGCAGTCCTTGGCCATATGCCCCTCCTTGCCACATTTGTAGCAAGACCCGCTCGACAGACTCCATCGTGACCCTTGCCGCACTTTCCACAAGTGCGGCCCTTCTGGCTCCCGGGTCGGGGATCAGCGGGCTTGGCCCGCTTGGCTGCCGGCTGGGACTGTGCCGGCCCGATCCCTCCCCAGAGACTCCGCCTCCTCCCTGGCCTGAGTCTCAAGCTCAATCTCCCTCTTCCGAGCATTTGCCTGAAGCTCGGCAAATGTCCGATACGAGGAGTTCGCAGCGAACTCCCGAATATCCCGTCTCAGAATGCTCAGGTAACGGCTCATACGTGCCTGCTCGGTGGACACGTGCTCAGGGCAGAACATCGCCCTCTCATGAAACATCCTCGTAATAGCTGTGACTGACTCGGTACCCTGCTTGAGGGTCAGAAACTCCTGTGTCAGACGTTCCCTCTCCACCTGAGGAACGTACTCATCTCGGAACATGGTAGTGAACCTCTCCCAGGTCACTGCCGAAAGCTCAGTCGGTGTGAAGTGTGCCGTCACAAACTTCCACCAGTCCTTCGCTCCCAAGCGAAGCTGGTTCAGCGCGAACCGAACCTTCAAATGCTCAGGGGACGAGCAAGTGAAGAAGCATCCCTCCATATCAGATATCCACCTCATAGCTGCCACCGGATCCTGCGTACCATCAAACTCTGGTGGCTTGGTGTTGCCTGAACTCCCTAAACAATGTCGCATCACCTCCCTGGGGTCTTGCCGCAGCAATCGCTGCGGTAGCCGCTGCAACCGCAGCCTCAGAAAGAGCGGCATAGCGCTCGTCAAATGTCTCAATCAACGCGGTCTTAATGGACCCGAACATCTCTGGTAACTCAGCTCTGATGACCGCAGCCACCTCCTCATGAATGATCTGTCGAATCTCCTCATCGCTAGTTCCGGCATATGACGTGTCCTCACCATGATCAACCTCTGAAATACAACATGCGATAATTAGAATTTACTCGAACACTCTTACATTCGACAATCCACCCCTCCTTGATTCTTGGTATCCCAAGATTCTTATTTGGACTGTGTACCGCACCGGTGCTTTCAGTAGTACGGGCCCAATACTACTGTCCGCACCGTCTCAGTACACACCCCAAATCTTCCTCTTCGGATCCCAATCCCCAAGTACTCTATTATACTTAAATCACTCTGTAACAGGTCTCACACAAAGTCCTAGCTGCTACCTAATTACTCTCAGCATCTCATAGCAGCTCACCCTCCCTAGGCTAAGGCATCACAAAACAGGCCACTCTAGTCCTATTAGCAATACCTAGCCTACTCTAGCATGCAAATACATCACATTAATAATAATTATCACATAATATAAAGGTATTTTGGGAATTCACCGTTCGGGCGCTGGCTGATCGTACACACGTTTCTTCCTGGAAAATCTTTTACTCTTAGAAAACTTTGGTTTTATTTTGAAATATCTCTTCAATTCCTCAGTTTGAGTTCAAATACCCCCGAAGGTGTACCCGAATCCCTCAAACCAAGGCTCTGATACCAATTTGTAACACCGAAAATTTCAAAACAAATTTTTCAATTTTTATAAAACATAATTCCATTGATATTCATAAACAACCATTTTAATTATCCAAACAAGACAATACAAAATCCCAAGATCATGATATCAAGCTCCGAATGTGTGTGTGTACGGATCAAGCCGGCGCCTTCCCGGTCGTCACTAGTACCTGAAACAATAACATCAACACTGTAAGCACAAGGCTTAGTGAGTTCCCCAAAATACTACATATAACACATATTAGCCACTCGAGGCTATAACTCTGTGGGTCCGTGCACCCAAACTCTGTGAACCCTCAGGTTCTAACTCTGTGAACCTTCCGGTTCTAACTCTGTAAACATGCACAGCATCAAACACATAGAAGTAATGCAGTACAACACATAACATACATAGCATACAAATACTCTATCACATAACTCTGGTTACCTACTCAAGGTAAAGTATAGTGAGAAGACTCACCTCGCGTGTCTCGGTAAATCGTAAACCTGAAATCGCTAATCACTCGACCTGTCGAGCTGTCGTCCCCTATAGCACAATACACCTCTAATTAACACTTTCCCACTGGGTTGACCACACTATAACAAGTCAATCTAGGTCAACGCTGGTCAACGGTCAACGGTCAACTTTGACCGGACTCGGCGAGTACCCAGGCGACTCGGCGAGTCTGGGCGTGTACACCAATTTCCCTGGAATCCTCCCTTGACACGTCGAGCATTCCCTCAACTCGACGAGTTCCACCTGGCACGAGTTGTGGGGCCACCACAACTCAACTCGCCGAGTCTCAAGAACAACTCGGCGAGTCCAGCTAGACTCAGTCCACCTGTCCATTCTGACTCCCCCTTGACTCACTGAGTCCACCTTTCCCAACTCGGCGAGGCCACTCACAGAGTGGTCGGGCAACATTCATGCTACTCGCCGAGTCTGTTCTTCGGACTCGGCGAGTCCATGCCATGCACTGACTCAATCTTGCTCTAAAGGTCAGATCCAGTTCATTAATCCATAGATCCAGTCCCTCCAAGCTCATTTAGCACGTAAAGTTACAATCTTGATGCACATACAACCTTTATATGACCATATATGATGTTTATGACTCAAATACTACAACACAAGGCCAAAGACTCTATTGCCACTCAAAAAGCTTGATGAGTGAGGCTCTCTGGACCTCTATGGATCCAGATCCATGGCCTCAACTCAAAGAGGGAACCAATGGGCATCAAATCATCCCATAAATGACCACCACAAGCCCTAAATTGCATCATGCTTCACTAAACAGAAAATGGTCCGAGATAATACCTCTAGAGTGATGATCTAAGCTCCAAATCCACGAAATAGCAACCTCCTTTGCTTCCTCTTGCCTAGGGTCTCCTTCTTTTTGCTAGATAACACACACAAGATCAAGAATGGCTCCTTTCTCTTCACAAATAGCTCAAGAACACAAGGGTCACTCACTGAGGGTTGGGTGAGCACAAATAACGGCCATAAGGCCCTTTAAATAGGCCTCAAACCCGGAGATTTAGGGTTTCATTACACAGCGCAGACTCGCCGAGTCCATATCCTGGACTCGCCGAGTCCAGGCGCGCACCAATGTCCAATTCCGCGTCTCTACTCGGCGAGTCTGAGCTCCAACTCACCGAGTCCCTCTCACAATATGACAAAATTAGATTTACAAGATACCTGGTAAAATCCGGATGTTACATGGGTGTATAAGATCAGAATCTTTGTCGTCGAACCAATGCTGTTGGAAATATTAATAAGGTTTGATTGTGTCGCGTCCATTATGATCGTAAAAACCTGTTCAAAGATCAGACTTGTAATAAAGCAGATTAGGGCAAAGTAATAAATATCAAGATACGTCAATAA